ACGCAAAACTAACCTTCGCCATTCCTGCCTCCAGGCTTCCTGTTGTAGCTGACACATTTTTTATAGATAGTAATTTTGAATCAGGTTTTCCTCTAATTTGCAGCCAAAAATATAGCAACCGTCCATGTACCAAGGGACGCCTCACGCTGGAGAAGGGCCAAGACAGCGACAGTACCTGGAGCACCTTAGACACCCCGCCATCACTGTCCCGCCTGGATCAGATGTCCTTGCCACCCACAGGCTCCTTCCTCGGCCGAGCTAGACGAAAGCGCTGCTGGCCTTTCTGAAGTCAGGTGTCTGGGTAGGCGCCTGGCACCAGAGCCAGCCTCAAAGCTATGGCCCACCTCTCGCAGAGCTGCCTGGCCACAGTCCCGGATGCAGTGGCCCCTGCTGGGAGGGTGTGACAGAGCCACCTGGGAGCCCAGTTACCTCTGTGTCCCTAAAATGCTGCCACAGCCCTGACTCCCAGTCCAGACCCACATGCCATGTCCTCCAAAAGGACAAATCAGATCCGGTCACCCATCACCAAGAAGGCCAGCCGGAATGCCAACCCCACAGCAGCAGAGACTGGGGGGACTGCCTGCCCTAGGTCAGGCTTGCCTGATTCTGTAATCCACAGGTACCCTGGCTCCCTCCTCCATGGCCCAGGCACACTGGGAACCCAGGACCCCCTCAACCTGTGCCCCAGCGCGGTGGGCGGGGCCGAGGGAGGGGTTGTGGGTGGGGCCTGGAGGGGCTGTGGGCGGGGTTGTGGGCGGGGCTAAGGTGTCCGCAGTGGGAAAGGGAGGCAGCTGCCAGGAGGAAGGACAAGGACGCAGGGCAGGGGAGTTGTGGGGACAGGGGAGACTTAGCAAGTGCACAGAGACCCACAACGCACTCATTTCCTCTCAGGCCCGAAGCTGGACCCAGAACTGCCCCCTGGGCCACTGCTGGCAGGACGTGTCCTGTCACATGCGCCTGCTGCCTCTGATCCTGGGTGGCCACGCCAATGGGGAGTGGACAGAGGAGGACAGGAGGTACTGGGCCATCCCTGTGTTGCTCTCTGTGCTTCTGTGGGGCTCCAGGACACGCCACTCCCAGGAATGGTCACAGTCTTAGGGACCATTCAGGGACAGAGGTCCCCAGCTCTGAGCCAGCAAGCCTCCGTGCCTATGCAGCCTCAGACGCAGGCCAGGAGGGCCGAGGGAGTCGTGGGGCATCATGCGAGGTCCTCCCCGTGCCTGGAACATGCCTGCGTGTGGAGACGGGGCTTTACAGACGTGACCACATTCAGCCGAGGCTAACGGAATCCGACTGGTGGGCACGGACGGGCACGAGGGACGCCCAGCCAGACCTGGGGAGATGGCGGCATCTCCACGCCCGGGGGAGCGGCCTGCCAACTCTGGCCTCCCTGCAGCCTGGGGGGCTGCCAGTCGAGAGGTCCCTGTTGTCCAGCAGCCAGGGGTGTATGTGGGAAGGTGTGGCGCCCACAGAGCCCACCAGTGAGAGCCCCCAGGCCACGGCCTTGCTCACGGACACCAGGGCAGGGGACCTTGCAGACCTTCACCGAGTGCAAGCCCCAGGGCGGCGGGACTGCTGACTCGAGGCCTGCCCCATGGCCACGGTACAGCATCCAGGGCAGCACTGTGCCTGGGCCGGCTGAGTTGCCGTCTTCTCTGGGCCAACTGTGCCCTCTCTCCTTGAGGTGACAAGCTGCCCAGCAGCCTTCCACCAAGTTCCATCTCTGCTGTGGGCAACTGGGAACCCAGGACCTCTAGAAACAGGCGCCAGGGCGGTGTGAGCCGGAGAGCAGGGGAGCGGGGCTGGGGCTGGAGCTGGGGCTGGGCCGGCGTCCTGGCTGGCTGAGGCCCACGTGGAAGGCAGGGGAACCCAGTCAGCTCCCACAGAGGAGACTGTGCCCCGGGGTGAGACAAGCTGAAGGCCCACATGGTCACCTGGTGTGAGGAGAGGCTCCGGGCAGGACTCAGGATGGCCATTCTTGTAGCCCTGGAGAACGTGAGAGACGGCGGCAGACTCAGTGTCCCGTCTCTGGGGCCAGACGCAGCCTGGCAGGGGCCTCTGCAGTGCAGCTAAGGACCTTCTGCTTCTCCCGATGGCACCCTCAGCTGAGTCCGTCCCCACCAGCTCTCCACGTGAGTCAGAACATCAGGGCAGCTGCAGGGAGCGTGGCCAGAGTCCCAGTCTCCTGCCCACACCGCCCCACCACGGCCCGTCTGTCGGACCGCGTCCCCAGACCCACAGGGATGCCCGGGGTGTACCGCGCCCCATCCCCATGTATTCCTGCCCACACAGCCAAGGCTGTGCTCGCAGAGCGCTGTGCCCACGCCGCCCTCCCGCCCTGTCAATCTGACAGCTCCGCGCTGCCTGGTTTCAGCGGAGACCAGGGAAAGTGGGACTGGGGTCTACCGGGCACAGCGGGGTAGACGACAGCATCCTGACGCCTGGGACCCCCACATCCGACAGCAGTCAGTCTCAACCGCGGGCAGGTGTCTGCGAACTTGCAAGGGGACGGCTCGACGGCAAAGGGTGTACAAAATTTGTTTTGTTTTGTGTTCTTTTGCTTTTAATAAGAAGAATTTATTTTCACAAATTTTGAAAATAGCAATTTTCAGGACATATAAGAAAAATATTTTTCTAACACTCAAAGATGCATCTCTTGGGAACCAGCAGTTAGCGTAATGGCTATGTCGCTGGACTCCCACGTAGTAGACCGCGGTTCGCGTCTCGGACCCGGTGGCTTAAATCTCACGCCAGGCGCGTGTGCGTGCGTGCCCAAGATCCCGAGAGGAGAATGGAGGAGAAGGGATTGCGGCGTGACCATCCCCCCTGGGGGGTGATTTCTCGCTTTCTGTCTCTATGTCTCTGTCTGTCTGGCGAGCGCACGCGCCCTATAGCGAAAAAACCTCTCCAAAAAAAAAAAAAAAAGATGCATCTCTTTGGTATAGAAATCACACCATACGTGTGTGTGTTTTTTTGTTTGTTTCTTTTGGTTATTTTTTTGGGGGGAGAGGTTTTTGCTATAGGGTATGTGCACTCCCAAGAGAGACAGAGAGAGACAGAGAGACATAAAGCGAGAGATCACCCCCCAGGGGGGATGGTCATACCGCAATCCCTTCTCCTCCATTCTCCTCTCGGAATCTTGGGCACACATGCACACGCACCCAGTGTGACTTTAAGCCACCGGGTCTGGGTCTCAAACCGTGGTCTACTACATGGGAGTCCAACGACATAGCCATTAGGCCAACTGCTGGTCCCCTGAAGTCTTTTTTAAAAAGTATTGTAGGACCCTGGGACCAGCAGTTAGCGTAATGGTGGCCTTGCTACCGTGCTCCTGGCCCTGCTGTCCTTCCAAGTCCTGGACGAGGCCTGCAGAGCCAGAGGGGAGTCCAGCCTGGGCGGGGAGCTCTGCACCGGCCCAGGCTCCTCCCTGCCCCTCCCAGCTGCTGGCGCTCTGGGCGCTCTATGCCTGTGACACACCACTCTGGGCTCTGCTGTGCCTCAGACCGCCTCCGTCCTCTCGTGAGGACACCCTGAGCCGGGCTGACCTCTCAAGGCACTTCATCACATCTGCAAGGACGGCCTCGCAGCTGCAGGTTGCAGGCAGGTCCTGCTGCGTGGGGGTCCTGAGCCCACCACGCCTCCCGGGAGACAACTCTGGGGTAGCGGCTTGAGGGCAGTGCCTGCCTGACCCTGGACTCCGAGTGATGCTATGTGACCCCTGAGCCTTGGTGAAGGGGTGCACCACGACCCACTCTTGCGGGCTGGGGGCCCCTGATGCTCAGCCTTTCCTGCAAGCCCACGGCTCCACCAGGCCGTTGACACGTCCCTTCCATTCCGACCAGCCAGAGTCCACTGGGGCGCCCCTTCCGACAGCAGGGAAGGCTAGACTTCCAGCAAGTGGCGGGAGGGCTCTCAGATGTCCAGGGCACCCTGAGGGTAGCCAAGTCTCCTCCCCAGCCCCATCCATGCCCTTGAGGTTCCATCCAACACTGCGTGGGAGGCTGGGAGTGCTGAGGGTCGACAGGCCCGTGGAGAGCGCTCGCTATGCCTCAGCTGCCAAGAGCTTGCTTTTGGATCTGGAGATCAGGGCTTCTCTTCCTGGGAAAAACGCAGAGGCTTTTTTCTTTAAGAATTATTTTATTTAAATTTATTTATCTATTAATTTTAAAATTTTGAACAGAGAGGGACAGAGTAAGAATAAGAGAGAGAGAGAGAGAGAGGGAAAGAAAAAGCAAGCCACCAGGTCTGGGACTCGAACCAGCCAGCCATATGGGAGTCCAGTGCCCTTAACCACTGCGCCACCTGCCTGAAACTCAGAAGCTTTTATTTCTTTTCTTTTTTTTTTTTTTAGAGGTTTTGGCCATAGGGCACATGCATTCACCAGAGACAGAAAGTGAGAGGGAAAATGAGAAACCACTCCTCCCAGGAGGGATGGCCACGACTCAGTGCCTCCTCCATCCTCCTCCCCGGGTCTTGGGCACACACACATATATGCCTGGCTTGAGTTTCAAGCCACCAGGTCTGGGACTCGAACCGTGGTGGGCCATGTGGGAGTCCAATGATGTAACCATTATGCCATCTGCTGGCCCTGAGGCTTTGTCCCTAGGACTGGGGTTTGGTAAGGGTGAGGTAGAGGGCAGCCGGGAAGTGCAGCCGGGAAGGGGCTCGTTGTTCGCAGGGGTGGGCAGCCAACTTTGCACCTGGTACTGCGCAGCTGCCTAGGCCAGCACACAGCCCAGCTGTGGGGGTGGAGGGAGTGCACCAAGAGGTCAAAGGCCAAAGGGGCCTTCCTGGCCTGGTGCCAGGGAGGGGCTGCCCTGGGAGTGGCAGCCAGAGCTGAGTTTAGCTGGGCTAAAAGCCCCTGGCGGATGGCCACAGACCCTGGGCCCTGGGCCTGCCAGCCTCTTCCCTCCAGGCTGCTCCCCAGCCCATGGGGCACTCGGGCTCCCAGGGGCCTGGCCAAGCCCTCCAGCCTCAGAGGGCCATTCTGACCAGCCCCCACCCGCCTTTACTTGTTCTGGGAACCACTTCCTGCCTAAGTGCTGCATCCCAGGGAAGAAAAGGGCTCGTGTCTCTGCACTTCAGACAGGGCCTGCCTGGCACTGCGGGGTCACCCAGGTCAGAGGCCCTGTGTGAGACCCTCACAGCTCCTGCATGGGCCCCTCTCTCTGGCAGACCTAGCTCTGGGATGCCCGAGAGGGAGAGAGCCGTGAGGGCCTGCACTGCTGCAGCCCTGTCCTAACAGGCCCACTCCCGGCTCACTCCTGGCCAGACCCTCGGCCTCGCTCAGATGCACGTGAGTCATTCCTCACAGGACAACTCTGTCACCCACATCCCTGCTCCAGGCACCCTCCCCGACACCCATCAGGGGCCAGCATGCACAAGTCGCACTCTCATTCACCTCGTCCCCAGAGGTCAGCGCCAAGGAGGAGGGCAGGGGCCATGCAGCGCGGAGGACAGCAGCCCACCTCAGCACACAGAAGCTGCACTGCCCTCAAACCTTCCTCCCCCCCCCAGCTGTCAGGCAGGAGGGAGTGTGGGTGGCCGGACATCCTCATTCACAGCTATCACTAAGAGCCAGGGCTGCAGCTGCCAGAAAGGGTCATGTGACTCCTGAAGGCCCCAAGGGCAGAGGGAACCCAGAGCCAGCAGCGTGCACAGGGGCCAGCTACGGGAGCCAGCCCAGCCGAGCTGGGCAGAGCAGGCAAGCCAGAGCCCCATGCAGGGGCCTGTGGGCAGAGCTGGGGTGGTAGGTTGCCCAAGAAGGGCACCTGGGGGTGTGGCTATGGCCCATGAAGGAAGCCTGAGCCTAGAGGATGCCAAGCCCAGGGGCAGAGGCCCTGCAGGATGGGAGCTCTGAAGTGACCCTGGTGCCACAGTCCTGCCCTGGGGACTGGAGAGCAGAGGTGCCTGGGCGGGGAGGGGTGTACTGAGCTTCCGCCGGTCCATCCGAGACCCAGGTGTGGGCTTCCCAGGTGTCAGGCAAGGCCGCCAAGCTCCTGGCCTCAGCGGGCTAACAGCCTGGCCTGTGGTGTGGCCAGTTCTGTGGGGTGGGGGAGCCCAGCGGCCCTTCCTGGGAGCAGATAGGGCAGTACCGGCCAGGCGTGGAGTGGCACCGACCAGACTGGGCTGCAAGGAGAGCCAGGGCATGACCGTGCTGACTCAGGAGCCGAACCGCTGTCAGCCAGGGCAGTAGGGCTGCCGTCCATCCCTGCCGGGAGGTACTGGGGGAGGGTTGGGCAGCGGGGTGCTCCCTAACTGAACGTGAGGTGGCCCAGTCCCCACGGCTATGGCAGAGGGGCCTGGGGACGCAGGGAGCAGGGTGCTGGGCAGGGCAGCAGGCAGGAAGGGGCTAGAGGGACCTCTGCCAGAAAAGTACCATCCCTGTCACTGAAGGGGTCGTGACCTGCACCAGTCCCTTGGTGGTCACCTCACCCAGGGAAGAAGCAAAGGCCCGGAGAGGCAGGAGGCTCCCCTGCCCAGAGCGGGCACAGGCCCAGCTCCACTCTGCTCCAGGGGACCTGCAGGGGATGGCCCACCTACCACTGATGTGGGGAAACTGTGGCCTAACCAAGCTACGGGGCTGGCCCAGCCTCGAGCCTGCCAACCGTGTGGGCCAACCAAAGCGGGCTCCGGCCCAGCATGGCTCTGCCCTCAGGAGGGGGCCTGCAGAGCCTGTCCTGTGGCCCACCTCCCCGGGCCTAGGATGGCCGTCGCTGGGCAGCAGGTGCTTTCTCCATGTATCACATGGTGCAAGGGGGCAGGGAGGCGGCCTGCACACCCACAGCCCTGCCTCCCGCCCAGCTCTCAGCTGCCTGCAGGGAACCAGCCTGTCCCGGACACCTCGGCACAGAGACCACGCCCCTGGCGAGGGGACTCCAGGGGCCCAGACAGGCACAGGGTCAGCAGCGACAGCCAGGGAGGTCTGGGCCAAGGTGGGAGAGGAGGTGACATCTGAGCAGAAACAGGTAGGGGGTGGCTGTGCTGGTGCCAGCAAGAACAGCATCCTGGGCTGAGGGGACAGCAAGGGTCAGCCAGGAGCCTGGCCCTAAGGGCGCTAGTGACTGGGAGCCCTGAGTGAGAGCAGCGGGTGCTTTTCATGAGAAACCTTCTGGAAAAGGTCAAGGGTTTGCAGCAGAGGATGCTGCTCCGAGCTCCTGCAGCACACAGCTGCAGCTCCAGGCCCTGGGGCTCCACCCATGGCAGGCCTGCTGGCGCCCACCTTCCGCCTGCCTGGGCCGGCCACAATGCTTTCCCCTTCCCCTCTGGCCCCTGAGGTCCTGGAGGGAAACGGCAGCCCTGGCCTGGCGCCTAGAGCTGGGGACAGAGTGAGGCCCATTGTTTGAGGCTGGAGGTGGCGGGGGTGCAGGAGGCCTCTGCAATGCCCTTCATCACACTTCCCAGGCCCGGAGCCCTGCACAAGGCCCCAGAGAGAGCGTGCCCAGCGTCCTGGCAGGATGAAGGCGCTCGCTGCTGTCCTGTTTGCCTGGCTGCTCTGCACGTGGCCAGGTGCGGGGGCCTGGGTCCTATGGTGGGTGGGCGGAGGGGGAACCGCTGGGACTTTAGGGTGGGTAGAGGAGTGTCCGCTGGGGCTCCAGGAGCCCGCAGGCCTGGGGATGCATGCAGCAGGAGCTCGGCCCAGGAGCAAGGAGCGTGGCTGAGGTCCCCAGCTGGGAAGGCAGATGGGCCGCCCTGGGCTCATCCTCAGCCACAGCCAGGTCTTGGGGGCTGCCCTCCCTCAGTCCCAGGCTCAGCCCCTCGGACAGCAAACGCGGGAGGGCTTTGGGCATCTCTCCTCTTGGGGCCTCAGTCTGTAAAATGAGCAGCCTGCGGCTGGGTGGGGGAGGGGAGGGCATGTGTCCCCCCACCCAGCAGCAAGATTCCCAGACGTCCCGGTTTGGCAGGGCAAGGGGTGACGCAGGAGGAAGACGAGGACACGGACGCTGGGCCAGAGGGCTATGACGACGATGACGAGGAGGAGGAGGAGGAGGAGGCCAATTCCATCCCGGGCACAGGTACCTCCCCTGGCCCGGCCCAGCTTGGTGCCCACTGGGCAGGACTTGTCTGGGACCAACAGGCAAAAGCCTCCGTGAGTCCAGCCCCAGCAGCTGGTGCCCAGCACACCCTGGCCATGCCACTCCAGGGCCTCCCAGGCAGGAGCCAGAAAAGGAGCAGCGACCTGGGAGAGGGCAGAGAAGGCCGGGGCCCAGGACAAGCCTAGAGAACGCCAAAGCCAGGGGTCGGGGCCAGTAGGGAGCCGCAGACCATGCGTGGAGAAGCTGTAGGGAGGGCTGGGTGCCCCTCCCCCTGCTCCTGGCCAGCTGGGGAGCCAGGCCTGAGGCCAGCAGGGGAGGGGGCACGCCCTGGGACTCCGGCGGAGGCTGGGCCGCCTGGCCTGACCTGAGCTCGCCTGGTCCGCAGAGCGGCTGCACTGCTATGCCTGCCAGTCCCTGCACCGGGAGGAGCGCTGCAACCAGACACAGAGGTGCCTCCGCAGGCAGGCCTTCTGCACCACCCTGGTGGCCTACAGCAGCACCGGTGAGCACAGCCCAGCCCCCGCCACAGCCCACGAGGCCCCCAGGCCTGGCCTCAGCACTGATTCCCTCCCCAGGGTCAGGGCTTCTGACCACCTACTCCACGTGGTGCGCAGACACGTGCCAGCCAGTCACCAGGACTATAGAAGAGACCCAAGTGACCACAGCCTGCTGCCAGTCCACCCTGTGCAACGTCCCTCCCTGGCAGAGCTCCCAGGCCCAGGCCCCGTCAGGCGGTGGAGCAGGCAGCCCCCAGGGCAGCGGGACAGGGGACACTCGGGATGGTGAGGCAGGGGGCAAGAGGGGTGGTGGGGCAGGGGGGACCCGGGACAGCAGTGTGGGGGGATTGAAGCAGGGGGAACCAGGGACAGCGAGGTGGGGGGGACTCAGGACAGTGAGGCAGGGCACAAGCTGGGGGGTGGGGTAGGGGGGACCCAGAGTGGTGAGACAGGACACAAGGACGGCGACGGGGCAGGGGAGACCCAGGGCAGAGGGGCAGGCGTCCCCCAGGGCTGTCCAGAAAATGTGGGCACAGCCTTCCTGCTCGGCCTCCTTGCCGGCCTCTGGGCAATGGGGGCGGGGGGACTCAGGACAGTGAGGCAGGGCACAAGCTGGGGGGTGGGGTAGGGGGGACCCAGAGTGGTGAGACAGGACACAAGGACGGCGACGGGGCAGGGGAGACCCAGGGCAGAGGGGCAGGCGTCCCCCAGGGCTGTCCAGAAAATGTGGGCACAGCCTTCCTGCTCGGCCTCCTTGCCGGCCTCTGGGCAATGGGGGCCTAGAGGCCCTGGCCCGCGGCCCTCCCCCGCAGCCTGGTGCACTCTGGCTGGCCGGGACTCTGGCTGGCCGCTCCCCGATGTGCCCCACCAGCTCCGGAGAATAAACTGGGCGTCCTACTGCCCTTGCGGCGCCCGCTCGTGGCCCTGGTCTGTTCTGACTCCCCGTCCACACCCTGCGTTCCTCTGTCCGTGGGCCCTCGTAGGGAGCCCGGGGTCCGCACTGCCAGCCCCACTCTGCCACGCCCTGCCCTTTCCTGGGTGTCTGCTCTGCTCCCAGTCTGGAGGGAAGAGGCCCACGGAGGGCATCCAGACAGTGCCCCACCCTCTGCTCCAGCCTGAGGCCCCTGTGGGTGGAGGCAGCGGCCCCAGGCCCGAGGGTCCCCAGCATCCTCTCTAGCCATGACAGGGTCCTGGGGCAGGAGGCAGAAGGCCAGGACGGCCACAGCTCAGCCGCTGACGCAGGCCTCAGTGTCCCCATCTGAGCTGGGGCCCTCACTATCTCAGCACTCCACCTGCTGGGAAGTCCAGAGACCCCTCCCGCCTGCCGAGTCCACCCTGGCGGGCAGTAAGTGGTGTCCAGGACCCACTCTCTGCTTTCCTTTATTAAGAAGCAAGAATGCCTGGCTGGGGGCAGGGGCAAATCCCCAGGTGGAGGTGGCCCAGCGCCCTCTTTCCCTGCC